CCCCTTGGGACTGGACAGGGTGTGGCCTCTGATTTGTGGGCAGGGGCGCAAGCTAAGGCGATGCAATGTTCGTAGAAAGGAGCCAATGTTTCAGGGCCCCCTGTGCTCCCCTCCAAATCTGCCTTCTTGAGACACCCCCACCCAGCTGGAAGCTCTCTTCCCTTCCTCAGCCCAGGCCCGGGGGCTCCTCATAACCCTCTGTGTCCTTTCTCCTCTGTGGACTCTTAGCCTCTGGGGAGCAGGGTCCCAGGAGGATGCCCCCGTGCCTCCCTCACCTGCATGTGGCCGCTTCTCGGTGAGTGCTCCCCAGAGCACTGGGTGGAGCTGGGCCTTCCTGGAGCAGCACCGTCCTCCCTTCGTGGGACGCGGCATTGCTCCTGGTGGGGTGGAGGGGATGTCAGTGACCGCTGCTGACACAGGTAGCAACGGTGTCCACGAGATCACAGGATGGGCCAGCAGAGAGAGCGCCCGATCTGGGTGCTGGTCCACCAGCACTTGAATCCCAGCTTGTCACTTGCTGTGTGACTTTGGGCATAAGAGCAAAGTTGTCTGTGTTTAAAATGGCCTCATGTGTAAAAATGGGCACGATCCAGGCCTCCTGGCAGGAAGCATCTGGGCTTTGGGGCTCACATGTGAGCACTCCGGCAACCCGTCTCCTGAGCCTTGGGGGATAGCACGGCAGAGCTTGCTCAAGTCCACAGGCCTGGTTGCGGTGAGCCCGTCTTGCTTACTTCTGGAAGCCTGGAGCTTGGGTCATCCTAGGGCCTCCTGCTCACAGGCACTCAGAGCTGAAGGCAGTTCCAGCCTCCTCCTGGACCCAAACCCCTGCAGGGCCATGCGGCTGCCAAGTTCCTTATCCGGGCATTGGTGGAAGATGCGCCCAAGGAAGTGCCTTGCTGAGCAGTTGTGCACAGAGCATCCCTGGAGGTGGTGACGAGCTGCTTGTCTCCCCAGAGGCATCTGGGCCTCTCCTTCCATGTCCAGCAGATCCCCTAAACTCTGACCAGCCAGCCCAGAATAGCTACAGACCCAAGGAGACAGTGCTCAGAATGCCGACCACAAGGCTACCACAGGTGGGCTTCTGAGAGGAGGCGGCAGGGGAGCCTGTCTGCGCTGAGCACGGACGTGAGGATGGCTGGTGTCCAGCCCTTACAGGACTGATGGGACTCGCAATGGGCCAGCTGCTGCCTCGTCCCAGGTCCAGCAGACCTGCCTTCTCACCGTGCACACAGGCAGCGCACACTCTCACGGCCACCTGATGCCATCCGACATGCAGGTGCCCAGAACACGCCCACACCTGCAACCCGCACGGGGGCAGAGATGCTGGCGCAGATGGGTCCACCGGTGGCCGAAGCCAGAAGTCCTAGCTCTCGTCTTATCCTCTTCGTGAGCAGACGTTGACCTTGTAGGGGCCATTATTCTCATGGGGCCTCAGCTTCCTTACCTGTAAAAGGAGGTCCTGTGTCATGCAGAGGCCTACGAGGGTCAGGTAAAGTCTCTACACGTGCAAAGGGACTTAAGCCAGTGGCTTTCAAACCTAGCTGCATGGGGGGGTGGGGGGGGTCACTGGGACCTTTAAAGTCTACTGATGGCTCATCCCAGCCCCAGAGAGGCCAAGTGTGATGGGTCTACATGGCACCTGGGGGTGGCGGGGGGGGGGGCAGATAATGGAGCCTCCTCTCTCCCTGCTCATCCCCACTAAGTATAACCCCACCCCACCCCCGAAACAATAGAGCAGACACATCGCAGAAATCTCAAGGGTGGAAAGAGGAAGGTGGGCTGGCTAAGGACCCCAGGACCTGAGGAAAAACACAGGAGCCATGTCTCCCACCTCCCATGCAGTGGCACCAGGCGGCCAGGTTGGCATCTTCCTCCCCAAGCCTCACCGGCAGATATGAAGCAGGAGGCCTACTGGCATGGGCAGCCTGGAGGGTGGGCCTGGGAGACCCTCTCCACCGCAGCCGGTGTCTCCCACCCCCACCTCGGGGCACAGAGCAACCGGGGAAGCACGGACGAGGTTCCCGGACGAGGATGTTTAGGGCAGCCACCCGAACGATGCTTCAGCAAACAAATACCCGAAAATAAAGAAAGGAAATTTCAGCAAAGAAATAGACATTATCCGCCCCTCCCAAAAAAAGAGAATCAAATGGAAACTGTCGAACTGAAAGATAAAATAACCCAAATTAAAAAGTCACCGGATGGATTCAGAAACAACGTAGCAGAATACGGCAGAGCGTTCAGCCATCTCGTACCTGGAGCAGCAGAAATGATCCGGTCTGAGCGACAGACGGAAAACAGCAGGGAAAAGATGAACGGGGCCCCAGAGGTCTGTGGGGCAACATCTGTCGCGGTGGAGTCCTGGAAGGGGAGAAGAGAGTGGGCTGGAAAAAGCATTCAAAGATATGGCTAAACACTTCCCCAAAAGGTGACCAAAGACCTAAACCTACAGGTTCAGGAAACTGCGAGAACCCCAAACAGGACAAGTCCAAAGGCGTTCACGCCAAAACCAATTACGATGATACTGAACCGCTAAAATCTGAAGACAGAGGATGGCAGGTCTTGAGAGCATCCACAACAGAAGACAGACTCCCTGGAGGACAAGGCTGACTGGGGACAGCAGGTTTCCCTGTGGAAACCACGGGGCCAGCGGAAAGGGGGTGCTTCCCGTGTGCCGAAGGAAGGTTGCCATCAACACGAGTTCTGCACCGGGGCAGCCCATCCTGCGGGGAAAGGGGGTGCTTCCCGTGTGCCGAAGGAAGGTTGCCATCAACACGAGTTCTGCACCGGGGCAGCCCGTCCTGCGGGAAGGAATGGGAAATGAAGGAGTTCTCAACACTAAGCATTTTTCACGAGTAGAGGTTGTTTAAAGACTCGCGGGCAGCAGGTGTCCAAGCAGAGAGGAGGACATTGTAAGAGAAGCCTCGGGGCTTCGGAACGGAGAGGACATCGAAGAGGTAAAAATGGGGCAAATATCATCGACTCTTCTCCTCTCCACGAGGTTATGAAATCCTGTCTGATGTTTGAAGCAGAATTTGTGACATTATGTGATGTGGGCGCTCAAGGTACGTAGAAGAGACACCCAGGACAACTGTCGCTGGAAAGTCAGGAGAACAGAGTGACCTCCGTGGGGTAGGGTCTGTGTGCTTCATGCGAAGCAGTCAGACGTGGAGCCCGCAGGTGGCAGCCTGAGCACGGGGCCCTGTGACAGCCATCTGGGTGACAGCGTGCCTCCAGGCGCAGGACAGAGGTGAGGGTGCTGTTTTCGAGGCCCCAAACCTTCGTGTCCATCAGAATGTCCATCAGGACAGCTTGTCTATCACAGCTCATGGGACCCCAGCCCCGGAATCCAATGCAGCAGGTCGGGGGCGGGCCCTGAGAATTTGCCTCTTCTCTAACCGGTTCCCAATGAGCCTGATGCCGCTAGTTGGGGACCCCACTTTGAGAGCCACTGCTCCAGCATCTTTGTTCGATCAGGAGCTCCTGTGTCTCAGTGGAGGGTCCCTCAGGTCCTCAACCGCACAGCCTCACATCTCAGAGTGTGCCTGGCTCTGTGTGTGTAAATTAGGAGGGACCCCGGGACTGTGAATCGGGGGGCCTTGTCTGGCAGCCCGGGGCTGGGTGACCTTGGGCAGACCCCCCGACTCGGGGCCTCGATTCCCCCTCTATAGAATGGGAGGCTTCAGAGAGGCTGGGAGGAACAGGGATGGCACAGTGGGTCTGGCCCCTCGCCCCGCTTCTGTGTCCAGCTCCCCTGCCTCCTTCTTTCATAGGTCAGAGTTTACATAAACTCTCGTGTGGCAAGAGGGTGCCTTTGTTAAAAGAAGTTTGAGAACCCTGACCTTGACGTGGCAAAAGGCCCTTTCTGACTCCCATCCAGGACCTTCCCGACAGGCCACATGGGGGCAGACATGTGCCCAGAATAGGTTTCCCGGGTCCACACGTGAGCCATGCAGAATGTCGTCTCCGTCCCCAGGGTTCGTGAGGACCCCCTGAGATGAAAGGCATCTGGATGAGCCTCTGTGGCTCAGAAGCGAGGCCCTCCTGGAAGGGGTGGGTGGGCAGTTCTGTGCGTGGCACCCACCTCACCTCTGGAGGTTTGGTGCTCGGTCGCATGGACGCGCACAGCCTTGTGAACACCAGGAGGGGTGATCCGCCACCCGCTGCGCCCTGACAGGCAGCCCGCTGCCTCCTGCGGTGGGTGCCAGCGTTTGGTGCTATGTGTTGTTGTCCGAGCTGCTGGGGGCCAGCCCGAGTGCTGGGAGCAAGGAGCCCTGGAGCTCCCTCCAGGGGAGGGGGCGTCCTGCCCCTCCGGGGGACTAGGCTCTGCCGCGTGTCCTCCCCCTGAGCCAGGAGGCCGTAGCAGAGAGCCTCTGCGCCACTCTCTCCAGACCTGTTGCTGAGGTTAACCGGGAGACCTCAAAGCCCACGGCACGTGCAGGGCAGCCAGGGACGTGAGCGGTAGAGCTGGATCAGCTGCGGGATTCCCATGGTCTCAGACCAGACTTTTTTGTTTCAAGAGAAGCCAGAAATTAGGATCTTGATGTGAGATCCCCCAATGGCAAGTAGCTCAAGATCATTTTAAAAAATAAAAAATAGTTCCTATGCCACCTTTGGTTGGTGGCAGGCCCCCGTGTGCCGCCCCTGGCACAAGATGGCACAGCCCTACCCCCCCCCATGGGGATTCCTTCCTGCCCCTGTCCCCAGCTCTCCGGGTCTGCCGAGTGAGGAGCTCGGCCTGGGTGACAGGTGATGCTGAGACCTGGGGCTGCTGGAGAGCACAGGTGCCCAAGAGGGTGCCACGGTGTTCCCGGTGTCCTAGGCGGGCTCAGGGGCATCACGCCCTTGCCGACTTCTTCCTCAGCCAGCACCCTGGGGATGGAGGTCATGACGGAGGCAGGGCGTGATCCTCGGGGGCCCTTCTGGGTCTCACGAGTTCAGCCCCTCCGGCCGGGGCCCGGCCTCTGTGCGTGCGTGACAGAGCTGTGATGTGTCTGTTTCAGGATTCCCCTATTCCAAATCTGACCCTCTCCCAGGACACGGAAAGAATGGCTTGGACCACCGGGTAGGTACTCGACCCCTCCCTGGCTCGCGGTATACTAACCATCACCCGCCGGGAGCCTGAGCGTGGTGCCTACAGCTTCTTGAGCACACGGCCGGAAGGAGGGGCGCGGGGACCCTGCTCGCCCACCGCCTCTGCCTGCAGGCCCCTCCGCCCCTGCCCCAGGGGCTGTGCCGGTGCTTTTGCAGACCAGGGCCAGACCAGAACCGGGACCCCCTCCCTTCCTCCTGTCTAACCCCAGCCCCAGCTCCCATGGAGACCTCAGTGTGGTGGGGAGCAGGAGACAGGGCCCATGCAGAGTATTCCGACCCCCTGAGGCCCCTTCTGACCCACATCCTTCTCCTGTGACCTGGAGCCTAATAAGGGGCTTAAAGGATTAGCTACTTGGTGAGCAACGTGAACCACGGATCCACTTCCTTCCTGGGGTACATCGGCCCCTCCCTGCCACTGCCCTCACGACTGTCACCACGAACGGTGCCGTTAACATCTATGGCTATTACTGTCACCCCTAGTGCTGCCACTTGCCCAGTAATTATTCCTGGATCCCACACTCCGTAGCTGGCTTTCTCTGGCTGCTCCCAGCTAAAGGCTGGTTGGACTTCCCCATCCTGACTTCCCAATCCGGGGCCATTGGAATTTGAACCCAGAGAGTTTGGCGCCTGACTTGTCCCCACGGAGGGGCTGGGCGACTTTCTGTCGCTGTTCCCACAGCTTCACTAGTCCCCAGTGAGGACTCCCGGGGTGGGGCGGGCGTGATGGCACCAGAGCCCCCCACCCCACAGCCCCAGGACACCCCCTCTCAGGCAGCCTCTCTGCTGTCTGAAACCGGGGCGTGTCGTTCCACTGGAGAAGGTGCTCAGAGGTTGAACCCCCCGTGTGTTGCACGGCAGGGGTCTCGGCAGTAAGTGTGTAATGCCCGGGACAGCCTTCTGCGGCCCCCCAGGGCACACCTCGCATCCGGGGGCCCGGCCGCAGGGACCCGTCTAAGAACAGGGATGAGGCAGGCGTTTTCTTGGCCTTGTTCATCTTCCTCGGGCCCTGTCCGACCTGCTGTTGTGTCCGTCCGGGGCCCAAGCACCTCCGCATGGTTTGACTCTAGTGAAGCCCCCTTCCCACTAATCGCACTTCCAATTCTGGAATGGTCCGAGTCAGGGCACACATGCCGCATGCTTCTCTCGATTTTCTTCTAAGGATTTCTGCGCCCTTCATCTTCAGTGGACAGCGGGCAGGCACGGGACGGGGGGCAGGAGGATGTCCACGGGACCCCCACAGCACCAGGAATTGTCAATCCTTGGGCTCAGAGTTAAGGGTCCTGGGGGGGGGGAAACCGTCCAGAATGTTCTCTGCATACCTGGAACAGCTGTTCTGGGACTCAGGGGCCCCTGAGGGCGGCAGTGTTCCACCCCTCGAGCCAAGTCCTGGGACTGTCCCTCAATATGTGGAAGACAAGGGAGGAATGCTCAGCATTTCTAGCCTTGCTTCATTGGTGCCTGGGCCACGCATCCTCTGGGGAGATGCCCTCCTTGGTTCATGCTGGAATGACTTGGATCGATGCCCCCAGCACCTGCAGAGAAGACCACGGCCTCACACGCCCCACCCCCGAAAGAGCTGGGAACAGCTGATCCAGACATTTCATCCTGGACTCCGCCTTTACTCCTTCTCCCACAACAAGTGAGAGCAGAAGCTAGAGCTGTACAGTCGAGAGCTGAGCCTCTGTGAATGTTTTTCCTGCGGGCCTCAAGGCGGGGGAGGCCTGTGCTTCCTGCAGATGCTGGGGGGTTGGCAAAGGGGGCTGCATCCTCATGGGAAGATCTTCAGCTTTTCACGTTGCTTATGTGGGAGATTGGTGACTAGCACTGGAGACTTTGCTTTGGGGTTCTTTTTCCCTGCGAAGGTTCTTTCCCCCTGCGAAGGTTCTTTCCCGTTTTTTTCAGACTTTCTAAGACTTTTATGTAATTTTATGCCTATTTCTCAGTGGGGAGACCAGATAATTGAGCTTTTGAATGACCAGCCTTTTATGGTACGACCATGCTCAGCACGTGGACGTGGTCACCCACTACTCTCCGTGGCCTACAGTGCTCACAAGCCACTTGTGAGATTGTTTTTCGTGTGTCTCCACTTCCAGAAAGGATTCTAGGTGGCCCGAAGTAAAAACACAGGTGTGCTGGGACCGGAAACCCACAAAGCCCAAATCACAAAGGAGCAGAAGAGGAAGCTCTAAAAGAAATCATATATCAGAATTATATCAGAAATAAGAGAATGTTGTATGAGCCAAACCGCTGAAGCTTAGCTCTGAGCTTCCTGGTAGCTAAGGCAAAGGGGCAGACATGACCCACTATGTAGTTCTCGTCTGATGGAAGGAAGATCAGTTCATCAGGGGAGAGAGCTTTCTAGTTCTTGCTTTGAGAGGGATTTGTCACAAGGGGCCACCACCCTGAGTCCCAGAGTTCGTTAAAATGTCCTTCTAACCAGCCTGCCACAGAGCCTACTCCTGGTAGATGCTCTCCTCTTATGGAATAAATAGGGGGGTAACCTCCTGTCACAGGCATTCCTGTGAATGAGGCAGCGTGGCTCCCAACGTGTGCCGCCTGGTCTATTAGTAAGAGAACGACCACTGGCCACCAACAGAAAAACCCTGATGGCAAATATGGACAGACTGAATTCTCCTGCTGGAAGACAGAGGCTGCCAGATTATAGCAACAGCCACTAGTTTGTGATGACACACACCATCCAGCAGGTGTAGCATTCACACATGGAACTGCGCCAAGCAGCACGGCCTGATAAGATACAAGATGGGAGGCAATTTGAATGTGGCATTTGGAATCAGACATGTGGATCTAGTGGACAAAAAATAATAAAAGACGTATGGAGCAATTAATAGTGCAAATAGTAAACCATCTACTAGGTACATGAGAAAAATCTGTATCTTTTGAATCAGGTTTTCACATGCCCATAAAGCATTTGCAAAAATGCCTACGTACAAGGAAAACCTTAATAAAGAAGTCTGATATTTTCCAACGGTAACTCTGGAAAGAACACGTGCCGCACTGAGCCCCGAGTTCAAATCCCAGCTCTGCCACCAGCCACCTGTATGTCTTCGGGCACGTCACTTACATTTCCTGAGTCTCTACTTCCTGTCTTTAAAAAAGTTATCCTTACCTCTTGAGATCATTGTGAGGACCAATAACAGTCAAAACATGTGAAATCTTCTTGTAAGCTCTATAGAGTGGTTCCCCCAAGAGTAATTGTTATAAAAGCAAGTTCCTACCCCTTCTTCCTTCCACAGTGGTGGCTACTAAGTGGCGTATTCCAAAACAAGTCTTAGCAAAACAATAACAATGGGCCGTGAACGGCCACAGTTTCACCCCTACTACTAACAATTCCAGTGTCGTTTTTGAGAAGCAAAAGACATGGATTACAATGTTTACAGTTCTGTGTATTTGCTGTATGATCTTGGGCTCATTCCTTAACCTCTCTGAGCCTCGTCCATAAAACCATGACGATGATGCCCACCTCCTAGGCTCACAGCAAATATTGCAGAATGTGTCTGTAGGGTAGCTGACACCTAGTAAACTCCAAACCGATGGGAGAGGTAAATAATCTGTTGCTTTACAATTCTCCAGTGCCTCCGTTGAGAACTGCAAGGGAATCGGCCAGGGTTGGGCCTGTGGGGCTCCCCTGGCCACCCCACCTGTTAAGGAGTGACCCCAAGGCTCCCTCGCACCAGAGAGGTCTTGAAGATCTCAGGCACTTAGAGGACCAAGGCGGGGCTGGGCTGTTCTTCCCCTGCTCTGGACTGATCTGGTGCCCCCCTCTCCATTCCGAAGATGCCCTACCCTCTCTCCTGGGAGTCTCTGTCTGGCCTCAGAGACTGGCAGACCAGAGGAGGCTGGTTTTGCAGCTAGGAAAGGCGTCTCTAATGGCCCGAGGTGGCGGTGGTGGCCTGAGATTGAGTGGCCTGTGATGCAGGGCAGTGGGCGCTAGGGGGAGGCATGTCTCTTCCACATCACCGACCGGCCCGGTGGGAGAAGGCGAGTAGAGGGCAGGTTTGCCTTTGCCTTAAGCAGGAAGAGATTTCCAGACCAGACAGGTGCGCCTGGGGATGCTTCTCAGCGTCCTGAGAAAATGTCTCAAAAATTGTCCTTGCAAACCCCTAAGGAGCATTATTCTGTGACGGTCATGACGGTGGGGGTGAGGGCACCTGGCTCAGGGTCCCAGGGCTGAGACTAGGTGAGGTGAGTGGGGCACTTGCCAAAAGGCTCCACAATCAAAGTAAATAATGTTCTAATGCAATGTTTTTTTAAAGCCCAAGTCAATGCAAGAAAATTCGTGATGAACAAAACACCAAATATTTAAATAGAGACTGGCTCCAGCCCTCCACTTACGTACTTGCCCAACTCACCACCCTTGTCTCCCCTGTTTGGGATGAAGGACTTTGGCTCGGGGCTCTCTGGCTCGTCCCTTGCCCACACACTCTCTGGAACTACACCTGTTCCGTGCATGTCGCCCCTCTACCGCAATAAGTAGTGCTGACCGTGCTTTCCCTGTCGCCCGAGCAGGGCAAGGCGCGACTCTCCCCTGGGACTGCAGGCCTCCCTTGAAACCCCTGCACGGGATCCCAGAAATGCCAGCCCAGAGCGCCGAGCCTGTGTCAGAGCAGGTGCTGGGCCTGCAGGAACCGTGTTCTTCCAGCGGCTCTGTGGACCACGGGCCGTGGCAGAGCTTGACTCGTGGTGTACATGCCAGGCGCAGGAGTGGGGGGTAGAGACACGGGGGCTCGGTGCCTGCTTTTGGGGCCCAGACCCTCCTGAGCGTTGTGTGGGGTGATTTTTTTCAGGCGGGCAGAAGGGAAGAGAATTCCCGGCATGGGTGGTGGAGATGCACGGAGTCTGCTGATGACTGCCGTGGGAGTCGTCAAGGAGGGAGGGCAGGCACCCGACGGTGGCCCCTGTTCCCTCGAGTGTCCCCACCTGAGGGTCAACCTCTGTTGCGGCCGCTTAGGCACGCGGGGCTCTGTCCAGGGGCTGTACGAACCAGCTCTCCTGGGCGCCTGGGGCCCATGGGGTCTGGAGGGGACCAGTGGTCCCCGCGGGCTGGCCTCTGCACCGGGCTGGGCTGTACCCCTAGGGGGCCGCGGGGCACAGGGAGCAGGCATGCAGGAGCGGCTCGAAAGGCGGGCAGGAGAGCTGGGCCAGGCAGCGTCCGCACCAGCCTGGAAGGCAGGGGGGAGGCACGCGAGCAAACCCGCCAAGTGTGTCCCAGCACGGCCCTTCCAGAGCCGAGGTGCCAGGGACTCTGGGGAGCCCACCTTCCTCCCCTCACCGCCCCCCCCCCGCCGGAGCCGGGCAAAACCAAGGCGCGACCACCCACCCCTGCAACCTGCCGCCTGCCGCCCTCTCTCTTTCTCTTCCAGAATGCCAATCTGGCCCCTTGTGGAGCAGACCCGGATGCCAGCTGGGGCACGCGAGGTACAAGACGCGGGGACCCCCTTGGGTCTCCGGCTGGGGCAGGGGTCTCTTACACATTTCCACAAGTCTCATTCTGGGACGGGCCCCTCCAGGGCCAGCTGGCGAAAGCTCCAAACATCGCGCAGTGGGGGGAGCGTGGGGGTGCTCGTTTCGGCTAGAGGAGCCGGTTACCTCCGTTCTTATGTTGCCTGAGGTGCTCCCTTCCCCTCATCCTTGAGAACAGCTGACCCTGTCCTGATTTGTTGGTCACTCTGGTTACTTGGGGAGAGATGTGTGTTGGAATAGCCATCCCGTACCAGGACTGAGGCCAACCCAATCACCCACGGTTACGTTTCGTGGCGAGATAACGCCTCTGGGGTCTGAGTCGAATGAATTGGGGTCCCATCCTGCCTCCCACCCCTCCTGGTCATGGGGGCCTCCTGGGCTTCAAACTAGGAAGGTTGCTTGCTGGGAGGCTGGTGTTCCTGGCGTGACTCCGGTCGCATGGCAGTTGCCTGACCGGGGGTGGGGGGGCTCTGCTAGCTCTGAGCCCCTCCTGCGTGGGGTGTTCGCTCCCCCCTGTCACCCCGGATGGCGGGGAGCATGTTCTCATGGGCTGCTGGCTCACGCTGGGCCGTGGAGCACTGGGGGCTCGCAGCCAGCTCCCTCCACGTGGCTCTCCAAGTCATCAGGATGTCACGTGTGGCCTGCTGGGAAATTCGGGGGACCGAATCGCCCCTGTCGCCCAGGCCCCTTGCCAGGGTCTCCCTCCCAAGGCCAGCTTGTGGCCCAGGTCCTAGGGGTACTGCTTTCTGGGGGGTTCTGCTCACAGAGGCCCTCTGATCCATACGGGTCTATTTTCTGACATGACGATTTTAGTCTGGCAGAAAAGCCTTTTGAAAAGCAAGCATGTGGGGCTCAGGAATATAAAGGAGGAGCTACAGGCCAAGAAGGTGAGAGAGTAAGAGGCCGAGGGGTCAGACCCTGCACGGCTGTCAGTCTCTGCAATGCCCCCAAAACTGCCCTGGAAGGTCCGCTCCGCAGGTGGGTAAACTGAGGCAGGCCGCTTTCTCAGGGCGGCCCGGACCACCAGGGAGACAGTATCACGCCCGAGGAACGCAGCGCTGCGTCCGGCTCCCAGTCTGGCCTCCAGCCTCCTGACCATGCCTCCCGCTCTCGGGTTCCCTCTGGGGAATCTGCTCCCCGAGGACTAGCGCCCTGGTGCAGGCCGCCGGGGGTGGGGCGGGAGGTCCCCACCAATGCTTCCACCATTGGGCCACGTTCCCGTGCTTTCTAAACCGCCACGCGTGGCTTCTGCTCTCTCTCTTACAGAATACAAGGTAAGAGGGGCTGCCCGCTGCCACGCCGACCTCTGCCCGCCGCCATGCACCTGCCCAGGTTAAAAGTTCCTTTTGTTGTGGTTTCCTATGAAATGTGTGTGTCCGATGCCGGCGCAAGTATGTACCTCTCGTTGGCCTTCGGCTCAGCCCTTTGGTCCCGGCACACACCTGCTTCCTGGGGTCAACCTGCGGTTTCCTCTCCCCACAGATCTATCCTTATGACGCCCTCATTGTCACCAACCGAATTCGCGTCAAACTGCCCAAGGATGTGGACCGGACGCGGCTGGAGGTAGGAGGGCATTTCTGGGGGCGGGGTGCGCATTCCAGCTGCAAGGTCCTGGGCACACGCCCGTCCACGGTGTCAGCGCTCAGCACCCCTGAGTGTTCTCGCAGGGGGCGGGGGCGCCACCAGGCCCACGGCGGGCTCGGAGCCCAGGCCCCGCGTTGTTTCGAGGTTTGAGAACCGTGGGAGCGTGCCCCCAACACAGGTGGCTTTGCAGAGGGCTCTGCTCTGTGTGTCTGGCCAGGAAGGGCTTCGAGACAGCGCCAAGTCGGTGGTGCTTGTCCTTCCCCCGGGGACTGGTGTTGGGAAGTTGGTCACGATCCGTGGCCTCTCGTTTGGCCACATTTACACCAAGTGAGAATAATAAACTCATCTCTGGAGAGCACGTGTAGGCTTAAAAGGCCAACAGGAGGTCAGCTCAGAGTAGGTATTTGGATGATACTTGTTGACTGCAAGGACTTTGCTGAGCACTTGCTAGGAGACGTGGTCCCCATGGTTGATGTGCAGGACTTAATCCCCACAATCGTCCTACTGAGTAATCAATGTCCATGCACTAGATCTCACCTCCTGAGCCCTGTCACGGATGCTTCGCTGCCTTTTAATGACCGTTTTGCTGGGCGCTGCAGGGTCTGGAGGCTCCTGAAGGTCTAGGGCTGCCCTGCCCCGTCCGTGCCCCAGGACCGGGCACACGGGAGATGCGGGGAGCATCTGACGCAGAGTATGTGTCCAGCCAGCGCCGGAGCCGCCAGACCGCCCACCTGGGAGGGAGCCGTAGGGGCCCGGACACGGCCAAGGGGCACCCAGCCAGCGCGGGAGGGCTGCCAGGAGAAGTTGGGAGGCCAGGTGCATCTGTACAGGATTGCCGCCTAAGACAGGATGGACAGAGGCCCCGACGGAGCACTGGGGTGGAGGGAGGGGGGCTGGTCCACTGCGCAGCAAGAAACATGGGGCTGGCCTCTGAAGGAGGGATGGAGCCAAGCCTTCACCAGCCAAGAAGGGAGAGCATTGAAGGGTCTTCCAGGCCAAGCGACCCGCAAGTAAAGGCTTTGGGGTGGGGGGAAGCTGCAGGATGTGCCCTGGGCAAGAAGGGAGCCCTCACGGTGATGCTGGTCGGGTACCGACTTCCCTGCACTAGTTGGCCTTGATACGTGCGCCCTTCAGGTGAACATAACAGCTGCCTACTGTGTGGGTCACCGGGCCCCTCGCCCAGGTCCCGGGACAGCATCCCTCGGCGGGGGGATAGTGGTGGCGGGGAAGGGCTCGGGGACACTGGTGTGGCCGCAGCCTTGCACGGAGACACATCCATGTCGACCCTTTCTGTTGCAAGTGATGGGTGCCTGACCCAAAGTGACTCAAGCAAAAAGGGGATCACCAGCTCATAGGGTTGATGGGTCCCCACAGGGGTGGCTCAGTTCTGCCTCAGGACCAGTTTCCTTCCCACCATCCTCTGTGTTTCGGCCTCATTGAGAGACAGATTTCTACCTCACCCCTCCCAGGCTCAGAGTCTGCAGAAAAGAGATCCTGGGCGCCCGGTCTCTCTCTCTCTCTTTCTCTCTCTCAGAAGTCCTGGCCCTGCCTTATCTCCGCCTCTGGGTGGGTCCTCTGATCAGCCCTGAGTCAACCAGCTTGGCGGGGGACTGCAGTGCCCATCTGGCCAGGTTTAGCTACAGGCACCCCTGGAGCCAAGGGACAGCTCGGAGCTCTGGGACCTGGGACCTGCAGGGAGCTAGGGTGCTGCGGCTGGGGGGAAGGGGGCAGCATGGCCCAGTGAGCCCACAGATGGCACAGTCAGGGAGTGCCGTGAACCCGCCAAATCCTGCCATCATCCCGGACACGAGGGCATCGTGCCCGGCAAAGGACCACAAAGGCGGAGGACACGCGAGCTCCTTGCTCAGGAAGCTGTCCGTTTAGCAGGACATTTGGATCTTACCCCACAGAAAAGGAAAGATGCTCTAAAAGTTCTGACCTGTTGGGATAAGCGCAGGTCGTCCGTAGGGTCAGGGGAGGCCGGGGCAGCCGAGGCCAGCTGGGAAGCAGGTGTGCGAGTCTAGGGGAGCAGGGGGCCCCTAGGGCCCAGCCCCAGGTGCAGCTCCTGGCACGTGGAGGTGGCCAGAGAGCACGTGTGCACACAGACGCCAGGAGCCAGGAGGGCCGCCTCACACTTCGGGGGTACCTGCCATGGGGGAGTAGATAGGGTCTTGGGTGGCCTCTTCATGGGGCTCAGGTATGACAATCCCCACTTTCTCTGCAGGGGACGTGCTCTTGGGCTCCTGCTGAGTGAAGTCCTTGTTAATCATGTGGTCATGTCCCCAGCCTGGAGGGCTCCTATTTGCTGTGTGTCTTTGTTCCTTAAAAGGGCCAAGCCCTGTGGGCTGGTTGCTCTCAACCCAAGAGCTGAGCCCAGAACTAGATGCCTGGAGCTTCGGGCACAGCGGTGGCCCCGGGGCCAGGTTTCCCTCTTGGGACTGGGGTACCCTTTAAATGACACCCCCTTTTCTTTTTGCTAAATACCGAATGAAAGATGCAAAATAGTGGTTAATACCTCTAAATACTTGCTTTGAACAAACTCTTGAGGATTGGGTCATGGGTTTAATCATCCATTCTCCAAGAACACACCCAAGGGTGCGTCTCTGTAGTCACTCTCCTCTCATCTCCGCCGAGCTGGGAGGCAAGCTGGGAATGTTACCAGCAGTGGGGCACGCCCCACATTCTTTGGGGCTCGGAGCTGGGAGGTGAGCCAGGAGTGGCCTAGGAGGGGCCAGCCGCATCCCAGCAGGACAGGAGGCCCCTGATGTTTTGATTTCAGGGAGAGAGCTTTATTTTTAATATCAAAACCATCTATAACTCTTGTAGAACTCCAGAAAAATGCAAAGAAGAACGCAAACATCACACGGAATTCCCCCACCAAGTCATAACTTCTGGTAGCGCCGTGGTGGACATGATTCCGGAAATCTCTTTTTGCACAAATACCCAAGATCGCTGAATCTGATTTTTGATGTGTAGGTTCACACTGTTTAGGTAGTTTGATATCAGCTTTTTTATCATTTATTTATTTGAGAGAGAGAGAGAGAGAGAGAAAGAGCATGAGTGGGGGCGGGGAGTAGCACAGGCAGAGGGAGAAGCAGACTCCCTCCTGAGCAGGGAGCCCGATGCAGGACTCGATCCCAGGACCCAGAGATCATGACCCGAGCCGAAGGCAGACGCCTGACCAAACGAGCCACACAGGCCCCCTGATAATCAACTTTTTTTTGCTTAAGTTTGACATGAACACTTTCCATGCTAGTTAATATGGATCTGCTCATCCTTTTAATGGCTGTGCAGTGGTCCCACGTCCACACTTGGGAGGGTCCGAAAGGCCAAGCTGTGGAGTGGCAGACGTGGCTTCTGCTCGCGCCCCCCCCCCCCGGCTGGACCTCAGTCACACGGCGAATCTCCATGCAAGGCAGGCTGGGCATGTTGTGTGGCCAGCAAGAGGAGAGGATGGATTTGGGTGGACAGCTGGTGAGCCCAGCTCATCTCTGTAGGGTCAGTCTCTGGAAGGAGGACTGCTCTGTCAAGTTCTCCACCCTTGCTCCCAGAATGCTAGGCTGACTCTGTCATTCATTTGCGGAGTATGTGCCAGGCACTGAATGGGGTCCTGGGATGCGTGATGAGCAAACACAGGCATGAGCTCTGCCCTCCCAGGCTCAGTCTGATGGGGGAGACAGAATCAATCATCTGATAGCCCGAACAAGTGTAATTATATACCAAGATAAGGGCTCTAAAGGGGAGGAACACGGGCCATTAAAAATGGGTAAAAGTTGACTGGGTGTAGTAAGTGTTGTGTTTACGTGTGTGTGCACACATATATGCGTGCGTGTGTGTGTGTGCGTGTGTGTGTGTGTGTGTGTGTGTGTGTGTGTGTGTGTGTGTGGTGAAGGAGGCCTACAGGGAGAGAATTCCAGGAAGAGCAGACTGCATATGCAAAGGCCCTGGGGCAGGAGGAAGCCAGGGCTATTTGAGGAAGAACTTTAAGGAGGCTAAGGTGGCTGTACTTGAACAGGGTGAAGATAAGAATGGGGCCAGACCATACAGGGCCCTGGTTCATGTTAAGCAGTTTGGATTTTAGTTTTAAGGACAACGGTTTTTAAATTGAGGGACTCCCTGATTAGGTTTGTAATTCAAAACACCAGTAAGGCTGTAACTGTGAGGCTCAGATTGGCCGTGTGGGTGCAGGGAGACTGTTTGGGAGGCCTCACTAACGGAGGGGCGTCATCCAGTCTGCTGGAGGCCTTAAGAGCAAAACTGGCCGCTTTCCTGGAAAGAAATTCTGCTTTGAAGTGTCAGAGAGGTGCAGGGAGTGGCCTCAGGATATTTGCTTCTGCCCAGGGACAGTTAGGTCTCCTTCTACTCCTGGAAACTCCTGGAAGCCGACCCTCGACCCTCAGAGGATAACCACCAAATGCAGGAAGGGCCAGAGCTCCTCCAATGCATGAGACCCTCAGGTCCTGGGGGCAGGGCCCAGACCCTCTAAGACAGAGAGCCCTGGATCTCAGGGTCCTCCAGACTCATCTCCGGGGTTTGCTAGTGCCCAGGTCTGCGGGAAGGGAGTGTCCCCTTGCAGAGGAGTCTTGCGGTTTCTGGACCGCCCCCACCAGACCTTGAGTCTAAATGCACACCTGACTTTGCTCCAACAGTAAGAACCCAAGTCAGAAAGTGCCGGGGGGGGGGGGGGAGGGACCCTGTGGTTAAGAATACTTCTTTTGTTTAAACCCATCCAACTGGTCCAGTGAGAATCTGATAGACTGATGGCAGCAGCTGAGTGTGTCCCCAGCGCATGGGCATGGGTGCCTCTGAGAGACAGGGCTGCACGAGAATCCAGCGCTTCGGGGGCCCCCAGGTCTGAGCATGAGCAGTCCTCCCAGGCCAGGCCAAGTAGCAGGGATTGCAGGGGTGGAGGTTGGGGAGGGAGGAGGGAAGCACACGGGAGAGTAGGGTAGGCTGGTAGAAGCAGACCACATGGAGAGGGGAGGAAGCTGGGAGGCAGTATGACAGGAACATGGGAGCAGAGATTTGGATTCAGGGGTACGCGTGGCCAACAGAGATTGTCCCTGGGGGAGGGTGAGAGACCAAGCTGAACAGGCAGGCCCGTGCCCACCCTCATGGAGTTGGGAGCCAGATGAGGTCAGCAGTGACCAGATCAGCAAGGGCCTGATTGGCTAGGGCAACCCAGGAGGGCCCCCTGGAGGAGAGGACATTTGAGCTGGGACCTAGGATGAAGAGGAGACTTTGTGTGAAGTGAGGGAAAGAGCATTGCAGGCCTTGGGGGTGGCAAAGAGCCTGGCATATTCTAGAACCCACCACGGAGCAGAGTGCTGGTGGGAGAGGTGGGCAAGAACACATGATTGTGATGCAGGGCCTCAAACCACCTGACAGCAACGTCACTCCACCTGGCAGAGCCTGCATCCCCTCCCTACTGCATGGGCTCTGGGAGAGCTCACGGGACTGCGGGTGGAGCGCTGCCAGCACCCCCCAGGGACAGACCAACACGCCACAAACCATGGTGGCCATTGTCATGACGACAGTAATGTCATCGTGATGATGGTGTTGGAATGACGATGCTGTCATGATGATGATGATGCTGTTGTGGCGATGGTGTTGTGCTGGTGATGTGATGACAATGATTGTCATGATGACGATGATGTCATGATGACAATGTCACGATGATGATGTCATAATAATGCCATGCTGACGGTGATGTCATGATGATGATGTCATGCTGATGGTGATGTCATGCTGATGGTGATGTCATGATAACGATGATGCTCTTGTGCTGATGGTGTCGTGCTGGTGATGTAATGACAATGATGTCATGATGGTGATGATGTCATGACGATGATGTCTTTGTGGCAGTGGTGTTGTAGTGACCACAATCCCATGATGACGATGATGTAATGATGATATCATTGCACTGGTGATGTCGTGATGACGATGACGTCGTGATGACAAATGATGTCATTGTGATGGTGATATCGCAGAGACCACGAGGCCACGATACGATGATGTCATTAGCAGCCCCCTCCTGCTAAGGGGCTGAAGCTTCAGAATGTGGGCCCCACTCAGTGGGACTCGCCTCTGCAGCAGGCCCCCCCCTCCTTGCAAGCTAAGCCACATGAGCGAGTAGAACTGCACCATGGAGCCCAGTCCTCCAGAGAAAAGCAGCCCCTCGCTCGCCCAGGAGAGGCAGGCTGAGCAGGCCTGAGGCCTGGGGCCCCCCCCGCCCCGGGCAGCCCACACCGGTGCGGGGCCCGGCAGTGCCTACTGGGCCGGGTGGAAGGAGCCGTTGAGGGTTAGCCAGGCCCCTCCCAGGAGCACAGCTGAGCTGGGGAAGTGAGGGGCCGCTGGAAGTACCCTGCAGGGTGAAGGCCGGAGGAGGGTCAGGCTGGTCCCGGCAAGGTAGCCCAGCCCTGCCGGTGCAGTGGCAGCATAGCCCCGAGGGTGCTCCTTCACCACAGTTACTACCCTCCACGCTCTCGAGGTTGTGGATGGACACCGACCGCACCTGTAAGGAGAAACGTCCTGGGGCTTGTGCTGCTGGGCCTCTCTGTCCAACGTCACGTTGGACATCACGTTGGCAGCTTGAAACGGGGGGGGGGGGGGGATGGTGGTGTGAGAAAGAGGCCGGGGGGCCTTGGGAGCCTGCAGTGAGGGTGCAGTCAGGAGAGGCTTCCTGGAGGAGCCGAGATCCATGGCCAGGTCTGAGCAGTGAGCGGGAGGGGCTGACATTCCAAGGGTAGGAGAGTGGATGAAGGCACAGCCCTGCTTATTCCCATTTTCCAGAATCGTAACTGAGGTCAGGTCACGCAGTGCAGCTGGACCGGGATGGAGCCGGGACCAGAATCCCGGTGGATCTGGCTCCTGGACTGGAGGTCTTTGCACGATGCTGCCCCGGAGGGTCGTATGTCAGCAGACCCCCGGCAAAGCATGCAGGGCCCCTGCCATGTTGCAGAAATGGCCTCCTCCCCAGGGGCACATCGTGGGGAGCCCAGGGCACCCCAGGAGTGAGGCTGTGCCAGAATGAAGCCAAGCCACCCCTCTACAAAGGCGCCACCCCCTGGGCTTCCTCCCTGTTCCTTCAGGAAGGAGCTTGGTCGTGCCTGACCTTGGCAGGCACCTGGGGGTCAGGCCACTCTGCCTCCTGGGGAGCCTTCAGAAGCCAGGGCCAGGGGAATAGGCCCGGGCTCAGAAAGCTGGCTCCAGCCACTGGGGTGAGCTGTGCCCCACGTGTCCTGCCTGCCACAGGGCACAGAGTGAAGGAGGGTGCCTGAGTCTACCACATGACCTTGAGCGAGATTATCTTGGAAGCCAATTGGAACAGGGCCCTCAGCTCCTCCTCACCTAGGTGGTAGTGGAGACTCGGCGGGGCAAGCTCCAACACTTAGGACCACACAGCTAGAGCCAGGGTGGGGCCAGGGGCGTGGTGAACAGATACCCTGCCGGGCATCCCTCCTCTGACCCTGGCCTGGCCCTGCAGAGCCCTCAGACAGCCAGATTCTGTTCCCGCTCTGTAGATGAGGATGGGGGCCCTGCTAGCCTCTAGGACTTCCCCTCACCCCAGCGCTCCCAAACCCAGCTACCATCATCGGCTGGGGGAGGCCTCGGCCGCTGAGCCTACAGTGGTAGGTTTCCGTGGGCCCAGATTGTCAGCTCTGACAAGCGCGCCGGGTTACTGCCAAGGCCTGTGGGGCTGGGAGCTCAGCTGGGACCCCAGGTAGCTACCCTCCCCGCTCTCTCCTAATCCCACCCTGTCTTCCCTGCCCTGCAGTGGGCTCCTGGATGCAGCAGGAACGCAGGACCGCATCATCAGGGTTAAGAACACCCGCCTCAGGCTTCCCACATCCCATCCCCAGGTGGAGCTCTGTAACCCCCACAAGGAGCCAAAAAGGAGGGACTCCGCCTTGGATGTCTTTCAGGGCCCAGTCGGGCCTCCTACCCGAGGACGGGTCAGCCGCCTCTCGCAGCCCGGCTGTGTTCAGGCACTGGGGACAGGCTCCACACCAGCTCTCCCTACCCTGGTCTGCCTGCCTCCCTCCTGCCACCGCGTGTCCCCAGGGTGCAAGTCCTGAGGGTGCGCGTTTCTGTGGCCACGGGGCCCGGGCCCTGTGCGACTCTCCGATGAAGTTCCCAGGGCATCCTGGCCCCGAGGGTGCAGGTGAGCCTCATGGGACCTGCAGCGACAGGGCTCTGCGGCTCCACGTGTACCCCCGGGCTCCCCCAGCAGGCCCCCCAGCTGCCACGGTCCCCCTTGCCCTGGCTGGGGGGGGGCTCCCAGGCTTGAGCGCACAGTCACCCCTCGGCACCGTGTCCCCACCGCTGGGGCGCCGCGCCTCTCGCCTCGTCTCCCTCCTGCGTGTCCCCAGCCTGGCTACCCCCTCAAACAGCTCAGCGTGGGGATCCCTGCCTGCTCTGCAGGACCACTGTCCACTGAGGACCGCATGGAGAAGGGGGACGCCTGTCCCCGCACCGGCTTCGGGCTCCGGACGGTCCCTGGATCCGCTGCACGTCCGTCCATTCCCCCAGGGGCCCGTGTCCTCTGCCCGGCCAGGCCGCCAGTCGGTGCTGAGAGCAGTGGAAACAGTTTTCCTCTTATCCTCCCTTCTTCACCTCTCGATTGCCCCACAGTGATTGGGGAGGTTGTGATTCAGTGCCTGGAAAAGGGGTGATGTTGTCCGACGACAGTTCCGTGTCTCCGTGGACTGGCCGTGGACTCCTCAGCACACCCACGTCCACGCCGTGCGGATGGTTCATTTCTGGCGAGCGCCGGGTTCTCTTCCTGTGTGCAAGCTCAAGATAGCAGCGGGCGGCCGGCCCCTTCCTGGCAGAGACTCGCCTGATGGGGTGTTTGTGTTTGTGTGTGTGTCCGTGTGTCCGTGTGTGGGTGTGTGCGCACGTGGGTGCGCACGCGCATGCACGTGTTGAGTACTCTGGGCCTGGATTCAACCAGGAGGGCCTTCGGTGACTCACACAAGACTGAGGGGTGTCCTGTGTTCCCTCCTCCGGATCATGCCAACAACCGGGCTCCAAAACCCACTGCCCGCCACGCAGATTTGGGGATTTTTGTGAAGGCATAAACAGTAGTGACGGGTGTCTATGCTTTTCATAGTTCACCAAATGTCTTCACCTCTGTTTCTCTCCGGACCATCACAAATTTTAGTATGAGTAGTTTTGTTTTAAAGCCAAGGAAACCACACTGCGGGGGGGTGGGGGGCAAGAATTGTTTCCTTTAATTGTAAAATTCCCATAAAATTCACCCTATTAGCCCCTTTACAGTCTAGAAACCAGTGGCCTTTAGCACATTCCCACATGGTGCAACCACCTCCTTGATCGAGTTCCGGAACATTTCCATGCCCCGGAAAGGAAACGCTGTCCCGTTGAGCAGTCACTCCCCGCCCCCGTCCGTCCCCAGCCCCTGACAGCCGCTTCTCCGTTCTCGGTCCCTGTGGACTGGCCTCTTGTGGATGCTTCGCAGAAACAGAACCACACGCTATGGGGCCCTTTGCGTCCGGGCTCCTTCACTGGCCCTCCTGTTGCACGCCTTATCCGAGTCACTGTGTGCATTCAGGCCTTCGCTACTTCTCGTGGCTGGACGACACTCCACTGTGTGCACGGACCCCACTTAGGCAGCTCGGTTGTGTCCATGTTTTGGCCACCGTGAACAATGCTGCTCTGAACGTGGGCGCAGGTAGCTGCTTGAGTCCTGTTCGGTCAGGCCCCTAACTGAGTCTCTTTGTCTAGGTTCGGTGCCATGCGCTGCAGCGCGGGAACAGCAGGGATGCAGAAGGAACGCAGGGGGAGCCGGCGGCCTCCTGGACGCCGAGCCCACCTCTGGACTGCCCAGCAGCATGGAGCCGGCCCGGCTGCGCGGGTTACAGCGTTGCTAACTGCTCCTCTCTGGCTTTCCCTGTTTGCAGAGGCACCTGTCGCCCGAGGATTTCCAGGAAGTATTTGGGATGAGCGTGGAAGAGTTTGACCGCCTGGCCCTCTGGAAAAGGAATGACCTCAAGAAGAAAGCCCTATTGTTTTGACGGCTGCTGGTGTTCGTGACCGTGCGCGGCAGCAGCAGAGCCCGGGACACCTGGCGAGAACCACGAAAACCCCTCCTATTGCACCTGGCTCTGGCTTCCCTGTGTCCGTGGGGGGCGGGTGGTGGGCCCCTGGAGAGGGCTGGGCTGGAGGCGGGGGCAGGAGGAGGTCCCAGAGCAGGTGCGACCTCTGTTTCTGCCAGCAATGCTCCTGCCCCTGGTTCAGAGCCCAGACGCCTTGCTTTGTGCTGTTCCTTCCCCGCTGTTGCTTGGCATCAGGGAGATGCTGCAAAATAGCTGTCCCAGGAGATCAAGGAACACTTACGCGACGTGCAGCCCACCTTCCTGACCCCTGTGCAGTGCCCCGACCCCCCGCCCCCTGCACTAGGCCCTGGGGGCACAGAGGTGCCTGGGACTCGGGATTGGAGGAGGTTTGTCAATGACAGACGCTGACACAATCATGGGAGGGTGGGCATCTGGCTCCCAGTGTCTGCTCACCTCCCCCCCACTTGCTCAGCCCTGGGGAGGCAAAGCCTTGCACCCAGACAGGCCAGGCCAGGGAGAGTGCCGCAGAGCACCCGGACTGCACGAAGTCAAGCGCGGGGTGCATGATTTTTGCATCTGCTTGTGACGAAGTCTGTTTTTAGGGATAAACGTCAGCCTGACAGGGTACCTTCGGCCAGGGCCCTCCATGCACTGCATTTTTCTTCCAAATCATCCCCTAGATGCCTAAATGATATCTTTAAAGTAACACAGAAGTTTTTATTTTATTAAGGAGCATAGCCTACTTAAACATAAGACGACATATATAGAGTTCCATTTTATGGTCCCGCGGAAGGGAGCGCCTCCAGCCTTATTCTCCACTGCTCAGATCTGTGTGTTTTTGCTTCTTGGTGTGTTCCTAACACCTAGGGCTCCTTGTCGGGTTTCTTTCCATTTTTTTTTTCTTTTTCACCTGTCACACAGGTGCCCTTAAGGGCAGCCCTTGCCCACATAATGCCCACGTAATGCCCACGTAATGCCCACATAATGCCCACGTAATGCCCACGTAATGCTCTTTGTAAGTATGTGTGAAGTGTAGCCACCACAGTCTGCCTCGCTGTTATTCTCCACGTCTTGGAGAGAGAACATCCTCTTCTGATGGCCAAAGCCCTGGAATAATGGATTTCCATGCATCCAGCCTAATACCCAACGTAGCCCTTGGTGTGCCTGTCTTTCCCGCAGTGGAACGTAGCCCCCTGGGCTGAAGCCTTCTGCATGAGTGTGTGGTCCTGAGACAGGCACCTGGCCTCTGGGGAAGGAGGAGGGAGACGCCACCCTCTTCTGGCCTGCAAGGTCAGCACAGGGTCCTGCAGCAGAAGGCTGGCCAGGCCCCCTGCTGAAAGGCGTCCGTGTCTGTAATTCGGTGCGGTAGGGCTGGTGCCTGTCCCAGGAAACTTGTAATGTGGGTTGAGAGGTTTATGAATCACTGGGAAGGTGTCACCAAAGTCTGTTCCCCTGTGTTCTGTGGAGCTGTGTCTGTGTTCCTGGCCGTCCCGTCTGTGAGTCAGCATGACTCAGATCCTTCCAGCCCTACCACGCACCCCATTGCGCACCAGCTTCCCACCAGCCCGGCTCGGCCAGGGAGGCGTGTTTCTAGCACCTAATGCACTTCCTTCCCTTTAGCAATCTGCGCCCCGAGCAACTGGAAACCCCCGGGTTTTTCATTAGTGCAATGTCCTGTCAGCTCCCAGGGGAGCCTGGAAAAATAAAGGACGGTGTACCCTAACTTGTGAAGGTGAAAGCCACTTCTCATTGACGTGTGTCATTTCTCAGTGCACGGGCCCCCTTCTGCTGATGGCACCTGGGGAGAGCATCCGCTGAAAGCAGCAGTGCTGGACGGTGCCCAGGGCAGGGGCTGCTGCTAGGGGCGGGACCCCCACCTGCATGGGGATACCATAGGACGCCCCTCTCTTGGGAGGCAGCAACTCAGGGGCACATCCCAGCCAGCACCATGCTCCAGTGGTAGAGAGGGGCATGGGGGCTGATGCCGGCTCCCGTCAGGCTGGGGAGACCGACCAGCAAACAGACAAAGACAGCAAGATTGACCACTGCCCTCTGGGGAGGCCCCAGATACACCCCAGAGGTCAGGGGCGGCTTTCCGAGACAGTGCTGCCCAACCTAAGTCTTGACAGATGAGGAAGCATTCCCAGCGGCCAATGAAGGGAAGGGCATTCCAGGCTGAGGGAACAGTAGGAACAGACACACTGCATAGCAGATAAAGCCTCCCAGGTTCTGGAAACTTCAGCACTGGTTATGGCTGGAGCACAGGGCTCAGGAAGGGAAGAAAATGCAGGTAGGGCTCCCAAGCGGGAGGGCCTGGCAGGTCTGCCCCGCCACAGTTACCCATGCTGTTCCGGGATTAAATGTTTCCTAATCTCTGTTTTAGCCTGCTCGGATTACGATAACAAAATCCCATTGAATGGGTGGCTTAAACAACGAACACTGATTTCTCATAGTTGTGGGGTCTGGAAGTCCAAGCC